CAGGAGCCCATTGACACCCTCTCCACGGTCCACTTGCAGCTCTCCTTACAAGACACTGAACTTCCAGCTCAGGCACCTTTGCCCGGGCTGTGCCCCCTGCCTGGGACACTTTCCCTCCTCACCTCTGCTTATCTTGTTTCGCGCCTTGGTTCCAATACCGCTGACTGAACGCTGTCCTAGATCCTCCCTCACTCGCAGCGTCCCTAGCCCCAGAAACACCCTGCTTTTGTGCCTGCTTTTCTAAGCAGGCCATCCTCCCCCTCATAGAATGGAAGCACCTTGAAGGCAGGGGCGCCCTGTTTCTTCAGTCTCTGCACTGCCAGGTCCTAGAGCTGTGCTCGACACTCCCACTGCTCAGCGAGGCTTATTCAGCCAACCAATCGGTGGTCCCCAAGTGTTCTAAACGCGGGGTAGGTGGGAAGGGAAGGAGCCCCCCCACACCTTACTTCCTGATGGGACACAGTGTAAAGGAGGGCCACAGAAGGGGCCCTGCCCCAGAGATGACATCTCCCCCTGCCTTTGGGAGGGCGTTCATCTCCTCACACAGACCCCCCTTGTATCTCGCACGTAAAAGGAAGGCGGTGAAGGCCCTCCCAGCTCCAGCCCTGCCCTCCAGGAGCCCCGAGAGGCCAGGGACCCTCAGCCTCCTTTGGGTCAGCTCCCTGAGGACAAGCACCCTTCATCTTCCCGCTGATATTTCCTTGTCCCCCATTGCCTCTGGCATCAAAGTCCTGTGGCATTCGAGGCCCTTCCCTATCGGGCTCCATCCTGCCCTTCCAGACTGATTCCCTCTGACTTCCTCCTCTTGCACTCTGGGTGCCCAATGAACTGGCCTTCTTGACGCTCCCTGTACAAGGCAAGCCCTGGGACCTCCCTAAGCCTCAGTTTCTTTCTCTGAAAAATGGGCAGGCCCCTGAGCTGCGAATCTGTATCCCAGGTGGGGAGCGGGGGAAGGGTACTCCCTCACCCCTACCCCGGAAGAAGCCCGGGTCTCGGCCACTTTTCCAAAGCCAGAGTCTGTGGACTTGGGAGGAATCCCCTTGAGGGACGTGGTGAGCTCCTGGCTGTCCCAGGGACTCCTCCCTGCGACGTGCCGGACTCTGGGCCTGTTCAGGGCAGTGTCCTGTTGGATGGCTCTCCTGGCAGGGAGAACAGGCCTGCCTGCCTGGCTTTCCCTGGGTCTGCATCACTGGGCTCTCCTAATTGGGCTCCAAACTGCCCTAGACGCCTGCTGGGAGCCCTGGGAGGAGAGTCTGCGACAGGGTTGGGGGGCCTGGGGGAGGAGCAGGGCTGGAGGCCGGAGGAGTTCCGGATGGAACGTTCAGGTCCCTTGTCCCTCCTCACAAACACCCGCTCCACGGCCAGCTTGTTAGGGCCCTGCGGGGTGCAGGGCCTCGGGCAGCTCTGACGCAATGCCAGGGCAAGGACTGACTGGTGTTTTTCTCCAGGTTCTGAGGGGTGCCCAGCACAAGGCTGACTCAGAGCCCCTGGCCCCAGGACAGTGGGGGATTGCCAGATCAGGTCACGGAATCCTCCCTGGCCCTCTTCTCAGAGAAAGACAGAAAAGGAGCAGCTCCTCCTCTGCCCCTGAGAAAGATGGGAACCTAGGTCCTGCCCTCAGGGAAGCTCCCAGTCTGGGGGGTCAGAAGAGGAGCAGCCCCAGGCCTTGCCCTCAGGGGGCTGCCGGTGGGGGGGGGGAGGGCAGAGGACAAGCACTCCAGTCCCTGTCCTCAGGAGGCTCCCAGTCGGGGGGGCAGAGGACAAGCACCCCAGGCTCTGCCCTCAGGGGGCTGCCAGTCTGGGGGGGGACAGAGGAGGAGTGCCCCAGGCCCTGTCCTCAGGAGCTCACTGTTTCACCAGGATAATGAAGACTCCACCCCAGGCCACCTGAGGCTCATTCAGATCTGGGCACCAATTGCCCAGCTGCCCTACACTCCACGGTCTTGGGCCCTTTCATGCCAGGGATTCTGAGAGTCCTCAGCCTCCGTCTGACTGCCCCTGTAGCCCTGTCCCACATCCCATTTCTCCTGCCTCCAGCAGGCTGCTTTCAAGCCCCAGCCCTCAGGAATGAGCCTCTCTGATGCCCCCCTGGGTGGCCCCTGCCTAATTTGGAGCCAGAGGTCCTGGGCCGCCAGCCTGATCCTATCTATTAGCTCAGTGACCTCCCCACAAGCCATTTCACTGGGGCCTCAATTTCCCCATCCTTAAAATGGGGATAAAATCCCTGAACGCCCTCTCCTCCAGACATGTAAAGAAAGCCCTTGCTGAAGCTCAACTCCTCCCTCTGTGAGCGCTAGTCTGTGACTCGCGTAAGGGTTAGAGTTAGGGCATCCTCCCTGGTCAGCTGAGCACAAGGCAGGGCGCATAGCGGGCACTTTAGTCAATGTTTGCTGAGTGAATGAGCTTGGAAGAGAAGGTCCACCTCGGCACTAGTGGAAATAACATTTCTGCATTTCCAAAAACAGTTAGCTCTCCCAAGTAGATTAAACCTTCCCCTTGCTTCTGCCATCTGGAGGGGGATCATTTTACCCCTCGTCGTTGATGCTCTGAGGTGAGGCTGAGTGGGACCGTTGGCCGATGCCAGCTTTTGTCACCAGAGAACAGAGGCTCCCCTGGGCTCGGGGCCAGCCTCACGCCCTTCCCCAATGGGCCTCAGCAGCTTCCTCAAACCCCACAGCACCCTGAGAGTGGAGGTGGCCCTCAGGCCAAAGCGCCCGGCCCCCACGCAGGCTCCCCTCTGCTCCACGGTCCCTCTCTCCCCCTCTCCACTCTCTCAGCTCACCAACAGAGGTCACTCAGCCCCCACATCCCTACTGAGGGAGGGAGGGAGCAGGCCAGACGCCGGGCCAGGACAGGTGGGCAGTCACCCACTGCTGCGGGGATGGTGGCCCACACAACTACCGACCACTAGGATTCCTTCTCAAGTAGGGCTCAGCCTGGCCTCCTTAAAATTCTAGGAAATGCTGCCTCCTGCCCTGATCACTCTCCCCAGGCATCTTGGGGATAGAGAAGGGAACAGTCCTGAACCCCTTCAGGAAGCTCCCAGGCTGGGGGGACAGGAGCAGCCCCAGGCCCTGCCCTCCAAGGGTTCCCAGGCTGGGAGGCCCGAGAAGGTTCCAGACTAGCAGGGCATCACACAGGGCAGGGAGGGAAGTTAGCTGGTGTCACTAAGGAAGGAGAGGAGATGGAAGCAGCTGGTGGGAATTTGGGAAAGAGGCTAGGATGGAGAGACACTCCAGCACTCAGCTAGCCTGGAGAATGAAGTCAGGTGGAAATGATGAGAGGGAGGAAGGAAGAAAAAGGAGGGCTTGGCCATCCTGTGGAAGGAACCTCAGTTCTACAGCAGGGGTCTGGGATGCCTCAGACTCTAGCCTGTAGCTATGCCTGCGGCTGCCAGGAGAGAGCCCTCACCTCCCCCTCTCTCCGGCCCCCAGCCCACTCTGGGTGGGAGGGCCCAACTCCTTCCTCAACCAGTTCAAGGCCATGCTACACACCCACCCCTCTCGTAGTGCAGGTGAAAGGCCACCAAGTGAGAGGCAGGAGGGCTCAGGTCACTGAGACTACCATCCAGCCCCTGCTCAGCCCCAGGGGCAGCCCACAGCTCTCCAGCCTTCTGCCCCAACTTCTCTTGCTCCCCCCAACCCTGGAGACCTAATCCTAGCTCCCAGTGCCAGACAGCACTTGAGGGTTTGAGAAGTCCTGCTCTCCTGGCGATCAGTCAAGCGGTCTGTACCACTAGTATTCCCATTTCACAGATGAAGAAACAGAGGCTCAGAGGGGAAGCCCATTTGTCAGGGCTTAAGGGTTAGAGCCAGTACGATGCATTAAGAATCCCAGAGGCACTTGTTATATACAAAAAAAAAATTTTAATTGAAATAACCTGTATAAAAAAATATGATCTCCATACATTTCACACTGTTCAAGTGAAGGACCGAACCCCAAAAGCCAGGCCACACTTGGGGCGACCTGGGCACAAACACAGCGAGTAAAATAAATTAAAGGGGCCGCTGACTGCCACCCTCCCCCCTCCCAGCAAGGGCCACAAAAGCCCCGGCGGTGGGGCCAAAGGGCCCACCGCCTGCTCCACTTAAAAAAGACATTCTATTCCCCTTAAATTAGGCTTTGTACAATAATTCTCCATCTTTCAACAAGTACAGGGAGTCAGAAAGAAAACATACAGTGGACAGGAGTGCAAGAATTCAGGGTCAGTCAAGCCGCCGCCGCCGCCACCACCACAAGGGGGGGCCAGCTCGGCACAGAATCAACTCTCAACAATAAATTAAGCCCAATAAATAGGCCCGGCCACCAAGGCCGGGCCGCTGTCCTCAATGGTCACACAATAAATAAAAAACGGTCGCTATCATACACGAGGGGGACTCCGGACATAAATACGCGGACAGGGGCGGGGGCGGGGTCAGGCCTGGCTAGTTGCATTGATCTGTGCATCCTCTCAAACAGGCCCATCCACACTTAAGACTGGAGGGTGGCCGGAACGGCAGGGACAGTGGAGAAGGCGGGGCTTAGGCAGAAGACCAATGAAGGAAGGAAGAAAGGAACATCGGGGTGGGGGGGGTCAGGCAGGGGGCGTTGTGCCCAGAGGCGAGATGATCCGAAGGAAACGGGTGGACGTTCCTGATTTCCGAAAACCAAGCGGCTAGCGCAGTCTGGCCTCAGTGCAGACCGCCAGAAAGGTGGAGGAGCAGCAGAGAAACGAGGGACCGGCTTTTGGCCAGTACCCTCCCTGGGGGTCAGTCACGGGGCGAGGGTGCCAGGCCCCAGGAGGTGAGGAGGCGGGGCCCTCGACTGAACTGATTCTTTGGGTAGACGCAGCTCAGGACCCCCCTCCCCACCCCGACTAAAGCAGCTATCAGAAAGGCACTCAGAAGCAAGGGAATCCGTCCCAGCTCTACGAGAGCCAAGAAGTTGAACGTGGGATTCTAGAGGTCGCGTGCTCGCTGCTCCCAGAGGAGAGGCAGGGCTGTTGGCCCGCCCGGGGCTCACAGACGCTGGCCCACCACGGCCATCAGCAGGGGCCCCGAGCCCCTCAGCCAGGGACCCGACTACAGGAGGAGGAGGGATTTCCTAGCCCTGCCCGGTCAGTGTGCCCTCTGCCCCAGGTCGGAGAGCGGGTGATGGGGGGCTCCGAGCCTCCCTCCTTCAAAGGCTCTCATTGCTCGAGCTCGTGCTGGACACGTCCGTGTCGATGGTGCGCAGCCGTAAGTCACAGTCCTCAGACTTCCCCACGTCCGAGCGAAGCATCCAGGGGTGGTCAAAGATCTGGTCCAGGGTGGGCCGATCCGACGGCCGCAGGGACAGACACCATTTGATGAGCTGCTGGCACTCTGAGCAGGGGAAGGAAGGCAAGGTCAGAGCCCTGCGGAGACACGCCCCTCACAGCCAGCCTCCCTCCCTTCTATAAGAAGCTGCTCTGTGCCGGCACACCCAGAAACACCCCCCCCGAAGTACTCCAGGGATGATGGGGAGCTCACTGCCCCTCCCCCAAGCAGCCCCTTCCCATTTGTGGTCACAGCTAGGAAGTCCTCCGTCATCTCTTTGAATCTGCCCCTCTGATGTCCACCCCCTGTGCCCGGTTCTGGCCTCTAGGGCCAAGCAGAGACAAACTGGCCCCGCCTCCCCTCGAGGACACCCGTCAGCCCCGCCCCCCCCCTCCCTGAGCTCCCGTTCCTTCTCCATCGACACTCACCAGTGGAAATCCTCCTCCTGAAGTACAGCCGTCCTCGAAGAATCTCTTCGTCTTGCTCAAAGGGGATATCCCCACAGACCATATCGTAGAGGAGAACCCCCAGAGACCACACGGTGGCCGACCTGCCGTGGTAGCGGTGGTACCGAATCCACTCTGGAGGGCTGTACACTCTCGTGCCTGGAGGGGACCCAAAGACAGAAGCCCCAGGTCAGAGGCCAGCATCCATCCCCCTGGGTACGCCGTGAGACTGCCCGGAGAGAAGCCGGGACTATTATGTTACAAGGACAGTGGAGAGCCGTCAGCTGACTGCTCACCAAGGCCATCGGCACCGCGTGGCGTCTGCGGCAGCGCCTGCCCCGGGACCAAAATTAGACACAAAAGACCAGAGGAAGAGAGGAGAAGGAAGGAGGCTGAGGGCCGCCAGACGAGCAGAAAAAAGCCCAAACCCATTTGGACCCCGCAGGGCTTGGTTTGTTTTGGTGTTTTAGACAAAACTCATTTACCAGGGCAAGGAGCCCAGAGGAGGAGGAGAAAGCAGGCCTCCTCCCCCCCCCAACCCCAGCTCCAGCCTTGCCTAATAAGTAGCTGCTGGCTCGGCCCACCCGCCGGTGCCTTGGAAACCACACTCAACCTGGAATTTGTGATGCAGGAGGTCACATGAGCTGGGGACTCGGGTTTCACAACAAACAGATGTGAAGTGAGGATACGGGGCTCTTTTGGGGGGGGGGAAAGGAGGAGGAGACTAGCTCTTCAGCCAGAGGGGGATCCTCTCCCCCTCCCCTCTGGGTGGGCCTCCTCCACCCCCGCCCCCATGGATGCAGCTGGCTGGGGTGGGGGCAGGAAAAAGCCAGCCCCGGCATTCCCGGGGTTTCAATCTGCAATGCAGGGTTTTCTTTCTGCAGCATCCCACATCCTTGGCTGGCTCCCTCCCTCCCTCTCACGCGTGCGCATATGAACTGCCTGCCGGGAATCTACCCCTCTTCCCCCATGACAGGGCTCCCTCATTGGAGGGAAGCATCAGGGTTCTTACATAAACAGACCTCCCCTAGAAGAAACACCTTCTTCTACCAGGCAGACAGCTAGCTCTGGGGGCCGTCACCCTCCCCCTGAAAGTCCCACACGCCCCTCTGTCCCCCCAGGGCAGGGGGGCACGAGACACTCCAAACCTAGAGGCCAGTGGCCGAACACTGGGGACGTCCATCCCCTTCATCCCCCCCAGACGCTGCCAAGGGCACACACAGTGCTAACTCACCATCAAAGTCCGTGTAGACCGTGTCCTTGAGCAGGGCGCCAGAGCCGAAGTCGATGAGCTTGAGTTCCCCCGTCCGGAGGTCCACCAGCAGGTTCTCATCCTTAATGTCTCGGTGGACCACGCCGCAGGCATAGCAGTGGCGCACGGCCTCTAGGACCTGGCTGAAGAAGCCCCGGGCCATCTCCTCCTCCAGGGCCCCCTTCTCCGTGATGAAGTCAAAAAGGTCTTTGACCAGCTCCGGCCGCTCCATGACAATCAGGTAGCCGTCTGGCCGCTCATACCAGTCCAGGAGCTTGATGACGCCTCGGAAGCCAGAGCCCACCTTCTTCAGGAGCACGATCTCCAAGGGCACCATCACACCAGCCTGGAGGGGGGAGCACACAGCGGCCAGGAAGTGAGCCCCAGGCCTCGCACCCCAAGAGGCAGCCAGACCCTGCACCCACGACGCAGCTTCCCCAACCTGCTCCCACCCCCCTTCCTTTAGCACAGCGCCTGGCACACAGTAGGTGTTACTGAAATGCTCTGCCCCTCCCACACTCCCAGGGACTGTCTACCCTTCTCAGCCTCTTCCTCCTCCTCCCCACATCCCCGTTCTAACCCAGCCTTCTTCCCCTCCTCACATACAAACAAGGTGACTAAGCTTCACCCCCCCACACACACACACTCCCTCTTCCCTGGCCAGGGCCCCGAAGGGAGAAGCTGGGGGAAAGCCCCAACCCGGGAAGGGGCCTGTTTTGGGCACAGCAGGAGGAAGGGAAGGGAAGGGGGTGGGGCAAAACTCCGGCATAGCTTTCACCCCCCCCACCCCATGTAAACAATAACAGAGGGGCGGGAACCCCGAGCCTCCGCCCCGGTGGGGGGAGGGGAGAAGCAGCAGTGGAGGCGGGGCCCAGGCCAGACTGGATAGGAGCAGGTACCCCCCCCCGCGTCCCCCCCCCCAAACACCGGCGCCGGCCCGGCTTGGCCGGTAGGTCTGTCCACTTACGATTGTGCCCCACTCGGTGACTCTCTCCTTGACCACATGCTTCACAGCGACCTACCGGGGGAAAGGAGAGCCCGGGTTGGAGGCGCGGGGTGGGGCGAGGGGCGTCTGGCATTTCCAGACAGCCTCGCTCCGCTCCGACCCCGGGGGTTCTGGGCTGTCTGGCTCCCTCCCCAGGCTCCTCCGAGGCCCGGAGGGGCTGGGGTCTCAGGGGAAGGGGCACCCCGTGGAGCTCTCCCCTCCCCCCCAGCCCACGCCCCGCGCCCGTCTAGAAGGGCGGGAGGGAGAGACGGAGATGTCCGTCTGGACTGCCGCGCGCGCGCCGGGGGTCCCTTCCCCCCCGGGACTCACCGGCAGCCCGTCGGCGATGCGGCTCCCGGCGTAGACGGTGCCGAAGCCCCCGCTTCCCAGCACGGAGCCCACCTGGTAGACTTTCTCGAAGGGCTCCTTGTCGGCTTTGGCTGCGGGCGGAGGAGACAGTGGGGAGGGGCGGTTGGTGTGGGAAAGCGCCACGGAGCGGGGTCCCCCCGCGCTCCCCGGCCCGGCCCGGCCTTTACCGGGCTGCAGGATCTTCACGGGCAGGTGGTCCATGCTGCTGGGGCTGCAGATGTGCGCCAGGGAGCCGAACTTGGACAGCAGCATCTTGTCTCCGGGGCAGGGGGCCCACGAGGAGGCGCGGCCGGGGGCCGAGGCGCGGAGCACGCGGGGGGCGGGGGACCGCCGGGGCTCGACCGGACACGCCCGGAGCCCGGGCGGCGGCAGACCCGCCGACTGCCCACGGGCGGCCACGAGCCCACCGCGGGGACCGGCAGCACGTCACCGCCCGAGGGAGCGGCCCCGGGGGTCTGATCTCCCGGCCACGGGGCGTCAGCAGCGTCCGGGCGTCCGGGCAGAGCGGCCGGGGCAGCGGCTGCGTCCGGGCGAGGAAGGGACCGCGGGGGGCAGGAGGCGAGCAGCGGCCCCGAGGTGGGGATAGTGAGCAAGCCGGCGTCCGGGACCGGGGCCGGGGCGCCGCCGCTGCCGCTGCCCACGCTCGGCTGCCCCGCTCGGCTCGACTCGGCTCGGCTCGACTCGGCTCGGCTCGGCTCAGCTGGCCCGCTCGGCTGGCTCCGCTCGGCTCCGCTCAGCTCCGCCCGAGCCGCGCGCTCCGCTCTGAGCTCGCTTACACACGGCGCCCGCCTCTTAACTCCCAATATTTTGGTGGGGGGGCGCTGTAGCCGCGTATCCCTCCGCGCGCCCGCAGGAGGCGGGGGCACGTGGTGGGGGGGGGGCCTGGGAAACACCTCTCCTTTCTGTTCGATTTAGCAACACCGCCCTCCCCAACGCACGCGCGCGCGTAAGCTCACGCTCCAGCTCCCTCTTCCCCCCACCCCGCAAATAAGGGGAACTCAAGGAAAGCCGCAGGAGAGGAGGAGGAGGCTGCTCGGCCGCTGGGGCGCCGAGGGGCGAGGGAGGGGGGCGGCGGGGGGGAGGCGGGAACTACTTTCTTGTAGTAAGCGTCGCGCATGCACACTCTCTGCGCAGTCTGACCGAAGGAGGGCGCGCGCGCTGGCGCGCTCCAGCGTGCACACGCAGCCCCGGCAAGCGGCCGGCCCGAAGGTTCTCTCATTTGCATAGGGTGGAGCCGCGAGGGCCAATGGGAAGCCCCGGCTTTTTAAACAACTCACTCCTCTCGGGCAGTGGGGAGGCAGTTCGTGCCAGAGCCAGGGGAGCCCGGAGCTATTTGCATATGCATGAGCGGCGCGCAGCCCGGCAGTCAGGGCGCGGGGAGCCCGACGCCGGGAGCGCGCTCCCAGGCCAGGCAGGCACGGCAGGCCCAGGGGCGGGGGGTCCGGGCGCGCGGGCGGGAATTCCTCGGCGCACCCCCCCATTGCCACCCCCGGGCGCGCTGGGAAAGGGCACTCCCCTTTCCGAGTGAATTCCCCGCGACTGCCGCAGGGGAGGAGGGGTACGGACCCCCTACGACACCCGGGAAACCGGGGACCCCTTCCCCCACCAGGAGCCCCTCTTAAAAAAAAAGAAAGCAAGCACGTGCCACCCCTTAGCGGCTGGGAGCCGGCCTGCCCCCTCTCCTCCCACGCCCCTCCCCCACCCGCTGCGGGCTCTGGGGAGGGGAGAATTTGAGGAATGAGGCTGGCATCCAGGGCGCCGGGCGGGCGGCCTGGGGATGGAATCCCGGGGGGAGGGGGCGGCCTCGATATGGGATCCCCGGGGGGGGAAGGGCACGCGACGAGAACCCCATGAGCCTTTCAAGTGGGGGAAGCCCGAGGTCTCTCCGCCCCCCAGGGATGGAGGGTGGTCCGCGAGGGGGGGCTAACAGCAGCAGACATGGGGACACCCCCAGCCACACGCACGCACTGCGGCGGGGGGTCTGGCGGCGTGCGCGCGTGGCAGGGGCAGTGTGTGGGTAAGGACGCGTGTCTGCCTGCGGGTGTAGGGGGTGGGGGACCTTGCGGGGGTGTGCGCGCGTGTACGTGTGTCTCGGACGGCTGTGGCCGGGGAAGCCTGGGTGCGTGGCTGTGGGGGTGGCCAGTGGCTCTCCAGCATGTGAATGTGACACCGGCACGCTGTAGGCTGGGAGGGGGCGCATGTCAAGCAGCCCCCTGCCCAGTGTGGCACTATGCACGATGTGAGGGGAGTGTGTGTGTGTGTGTACGCGTGCGTGCGTGACGCGTCGCTGTGTGTCTGGATCCAGGGCTGCCGTACCCGGGTGTGTTTGTGTATGTGACTGGCACACGGTGCTTGCCTGCGTGTAGTGGGGGGGAGCGTCCCCCCGTGGCTCCCCCGCCCTCCCCCGGCAGAGCTGGGCTGCGGGGTGGAGGCAGGGTCCACAGGGGTCTGCAGAGGGCGCTGACCCACGAGGAATGCCCCCATTGCCCACCCCCCCACCCCCCGCCCTCCCTGCAGCCGCAGCCCTTGACCTGGCCCTCCTAAGTCCCTGCGGCAACTCTGCGGGCCGCCCGGGCCCCCTCAGGTCTGGGACAGTGCCCGGCCACTGCTCTCTGCCCAGGCCCGGAGGAGGGAGGAGGGAGGGGTCACCTGAGGACAAGCTCCGAGCTTCGGCTGCAGCCCAGACTTCCAGCTCTGGGCTGGTGAGGCTCGACCTGGGGCCCCTCCCTGTGGTGCCTGCCCAGCCTGAGACACCCCCCCCCGCCCCTCTGTGAAGATCCCCCCTCCCTGCGGAACCCCCTCCTCCTGAGACTCCCCCCTGCCCTGTCCTCTCCTTGAATACCCTCTCCCTCAGAGACCCTCCAAGCCTCACCTTTAGAATCCTCACACCCACTCCTCCATCCCAGTCTGAGACCACCCCCTTCCACCCTCAGATCCCTCTCTTCCTCACCACTCCCTCCCCAGCTGGGATTCAGCCTTTCACGATGGATAACAGTAAAAATAGGAGTAATTCACAGTCACCTACCAAAGCAAGCTTGCTCACTCTCCACAGCTCGAAGGGAATCAGCAGTGCAAGGATTTGCCCCTTTACTTTCAGGGAAATGGAGAAGGCCAGAAAAATGGAGACTTTGGTCTGAGGCGGGACCTATGCACCCTGACCCCAAAGCCTCAGGGCAGTCACTGTACCTGGTGGGGGAAGGGGGAGAGACACCTCTAGGCCCACCCCCAGACCTGGGCATCCTCTCCAGCTTGCCCTGTCCCCCTTGCCCAGGGGTCCCTCCTTGAGGGCCACGCCCAGAGCATGGGTGATATAAGGGTCTGTGATCTGTGTCGCTTGAGGAAAGAGACTGGGAGTGTGCAGAAGCAGAGCTCCAGGAGGGAAGGCTTCATGGAGGAGGGGACTTTCAAGGATTCCTAGGTTTTGAACAGGGTTCCCCCCACCCCTTTCCTTTCAAAATGTTAGAGGCAGCATGTAATCGGTGGCTAGAAAGCTGTTCCTGGGTTCTGATACAGCCTGTCTGTGTGACCTTGGGCAAGTCACTCAGCTTTTCAGTACTCTGGGCTGCTCTGTAAGGAAATCCATGAGGAGTAGCAATAATGTAATAATGGGGTTGTCAAAGGTACCATCAGGCATCAGTACAGGGAATGTCTTCGCCTGAGAGTTCTCAGTACTAAAGGTTCCTAGCCTTTAACATTTTCCCTGTACTCTGGCATCCTCCAAATGTTGGGATGCCATATGGAACCTCCCATTGGGCAGATGAGTAACAGAGGCCCAACGAAGGGCTGTAGAGACAGGAGCCCTGGATTTATGGAATCATCAAACTGCAGTGTCAAACGGACCTCAGCAAGCCATAACCCAAGCCCTGGTCAGTGGGAATGCCCATGACAGCATCCCTGTCCAGTGGTCGTGCAGCCTCTACCTGTAGCCCTCCAGGGAGAAAGAGCCCACTCGCCACTTCTCAAGGCAGCCCATTCCACTCTGGGCCAGCTCTCACTGGAAGAAGGAAGTTTTTCCTGACCCCTAAGCTAAATTTGCCCTCTGAATTTCTGCCTTCTGGGACCAAACAGAACCAGCCCAATCCCCACTTCCAAAAGCTAGGATTTCAGGATTATCGTGTTCATCTTGGCCTTCCCTACTGCAGGCCCCCCACTTCTCTCTTCTCCAGGCTAAATATCCCCAATTCCTGCCTATAGACTCAAGATCCGTGGTGATCCTGGCTGCCCTTCACTGGGTGTGGCCTGCCCAGGGCAGAGTTCAGAGGGATCACCACCTCCTTATACAGCCCAAGGTTATGTTAGATTTTGGCTGACTGCATTGCATACAATCCACTAAAACCTCTAGATTTTTTTCCAAACAAAGAGATGCCTGACAATTCCCCCTTATATCCTGTCCTCCTGAAATTGATTTTTTGAACCCAAGTGCAAGGCTTTACATTGACCCCTCCTGAATTTGATCTTACATTACTGGATTTAGCCTGTCAAGACCTTTTTTTTTTTTTAATCCTGACTCAGCCAGCAAGTGTGGTCACTATTGCTCTCTGCACTGTGTCATTTCCAAAATTGGTGAGCATATCATCTACATCTGTCTTTCTCAGCACTGGGGACAAAATGGTAAACATCATAAGGCCAAGTACAGATCCTCAGGGCCCTTGGCTGGAGACTTTCTGCTAAGTTGATCTTGAATCATTAACAACTCATCTTGGAGTGCACCCTTCAACCAGTTATGGCTCTATCTAATTGCATTCCTGTCTAGTCCATATCTTTCCTCCATCTTTTCCACTCTGGTAGCATGAAATGCATTATCAATACTTTGCTAAAATCTGGGCAAGCTAGACCTACCACATCCCCGAGGGACCAGTTTAGTTACTTTGTCAAAAAAGGAAGTAAAGTGAGCATCCTCTAGATGAAGCTGGGCTGGCTCTGGGAAATCACAGCCTTCCTAGGCTGGGTGGGAAGTCAGTCTCACTGACCTACAGTCTCTTAGGACAGTTGCTCTCTTCCAGGCACTGGGTACCTCACCCACTGGTTCTCCAGGGTCTGGGAGCTTCCACTTCTCCCCACCCCTATTTCACCTCTGCCTTACTTTTGTATCTTCTAGTTCTTTCCGTCCATCTCCTCCACTAATCCATCTTGAACCAGTGGACTTGTGTTCCTCAAGGGCAGTTAACTGCTATCTTACTTATCCTTACTTATCTTGGGTTTCAACATCCCAGTGGCCATTTTTATCATGTTGTTTCCAGTGCAAAGGGCATGTCCCTGAGAAGAGAAAAGAAAGTTAAAGAGAATCCTCCTCCTGTTTTCAATCCTGGCAATGCTAATGAGGAGATTGTTTGAGATGATC